AATTCTCTACACCTTGTGTTTCCTGTGCTGCCTTGTTCCAAGAATTACATGCAGCCTCTCCAAACGTTATGCCATTGCTCTGGTGATTTCATTTATTGCAGTAAAATACAGTCCAAGCTCCTGAGGATCAGAAATTGCACCTATTGAAGATTCCTTTGGGATTATGAGTGGATCCTTCGTTAGCACTTAACCAAAGAAGCTATTAGCCTGGTCCAACAAATTTAATATCTGTTACACAGTTACAAGTCTGAGCACTTGCTCTGGATAAGAAGGACTGAGTGGTTAATGTTACGTTACTAACTATGCTAAGCAAATGCAATTGCAGACTGACTGTTTCTAAAGTGCATAGCAAAATGAATTATAGCACATGACTGAAAGGATGAAATGGGTAAAGCCACTTGAAGGCAAAATGCATGTTTTTCTTCCTACTCCAAAAGGCTTTACTGCAATTTGATATATAGGCCATGAGCTCTGCCCATACATTGCAGGGCCACTTGCACGTGGCACAGTGCCTTGCTGCATGTACTCCCTGCAAAGTTTCCTGTAACGTGCCCTTGCACTGCTGGGCATTAGAGATTCATGAGGAAAATCCAGCAAGTGCTGCTTGAGATTTTTAAATGACAGGCAGATACCTATTAGCATTAATCCTCTTTCTGAATTCTCTAAAGAGCTCTTTGACAAGGGTGTGTGCAGGACAGGAAGCGCTTGACAGGATCGGCTCCTGCTCAAATCCGTCTGTTATAAATGAAGGAAACCAAGAGCCTCCATCATCATCCCAAGCAGTGGCGCAGGCCGCCTGCYGTGTGGGGCGGTCTCCCCACCACAGTGCTTGGCCTCCAGCACGGGCCGGAAAGGCCACCCAGGAGCTGTGCAGGTTGGGAGAGCTGAAAGGCATGGCCACAGCACCAGCCTGCAGCCACATCCCTGAGAGGGAGCACCGGGATGTGTGCGCTGTGGCATCCCAGGGACTTACTGTTTCCTGGCACCACCATCAATTTTCCCTCTTCCTGCTCCTGTGCGTGATGGATTGATGGTGAAGGAGTAGGTGGTTTCTCTGCCACAGCTAAGGGAAGGGACAGCTGGGCACCCCTGAATCCTGCGGAGTCTTTATGGAGCTGAGGAAAAGAAGGGGAATTAAAGTAGAATTAAAGAAGAAAAGATTTTGTAGCTTGGAAGGCTCTGCATTTTTAAGCCAAAGGCAGGATGGCTTAWTGGTTATTTTTAGAGGACTAGGACTAGGTTATCCTGCTGAGGTTAAGTGGGGCTGATGGTGGGATTGTGCGTAGGCAGTGAGGAATGTGAAGTTGTTGTGTTCTGAAAGCTGCCTGGCACATCTGTGCCTGTGCATGGAAGTTTGCTATTTCCAAAGGGTCTGTGGTACCTGTGCTGCACCTCACTGGTGTACTAAAGAATACTAATTGCTTGCTTAAATATAGTTCCCCAAAATTGTCATGCTGGGAGAGAATTAAAAGTTTGCCTGTTTTTAGTGTTTGTAAGTAATTGACTTCCCAAGACCCTATAATGATATGTTACAAATTATATATCTTCTTTAAAATATATATATATTTTATAATCTATAGATTTGCTGTGGCATAAAAGGGAAGAACCTGGCCTAGTGTGTCAGCTGTGGTGGAAACCGTCTGTGTGGGATATATGGAACTCAATGTRCTGAGTGCCTGGGAATTTGAAGGAGTCTGATCTCAGTTACACTAGCACAAACTCAGAGTAGTTCAGCTGATGTTAGTAAAGTGGCTCTGTTTGAAGAGACTGTAAACAAATCCAGGATTTGTCTCACTGTGGCCTTCTTTGAATCTATACTTCATTGATCCATGCTTGTAACTGATTTACCGTTAGTCAGTGGCCTCATAATTCCAGACTTTTCTGCCAAGACCCGTCAACCTTCCCCATGAAGATCTGAGCTTTTCTTTGGGAAGGAAATAATTTAGTTAATTTGCTGAATAAGTATGTGGTAGAGTTTTGTGGGTAAGCCTAAGGGAGAAGATTGAAATCACAAAACACATTTGAACATCAGCTGGCTCTATGAAATTCAAGACAATGAAAGTCAAGACAATGACAACAGMAATTTAATAGTTTACTTAAAAATCTGTAGCATTTTGCTACAAAACTGTGTAGGGAGTTAGGCTTTGAAATGCTTGTGTGTATGATGGGGTACAATAGTTTGTCTTACATCAAGGCTTGGAACTAAACATAAATCATAATCAGAAGAGCACTGCTTGCTCTTGCAAGCTTGCCTCCTTTGCTTGCTGTCTAATAACCAGTCTAGCTACCTCCACATAGAAGTTCTTAATCTTACATTACTTCGTGTAAATTTGCAGTCAGCACTCATGTAAAATGATCAACAAATGCTGGCAAAACTATGTGGTAAATCTGAGAGAAGCTCTGGCTCTGAGAGAAGTTGATCACTGCCTGTTCCTGACCGCCTCGTATCTACTTAATAACACTTCTAACAGCTGATCGTAGCTTGATCTTGTAAACCTGAAATTTATTTGCAAAAGTTTCACCAGGCTGAGTAGCTAATTTAAGCAGCTCTCTGGCTTTGTGGCTCCATGTGGGATATCCCAGTCTGAGAAATAGGGATGTGCAGGAGGTGTAGGGACTCCCCAGGGAAGGGGTGTTATGGAATGACCCTGTTCCCTACAATACACAGCTTTGAAAATCTTTCCTGAATAAGAGCGATTGGTTAAATTCACATTATGTAAATCAGATAAGGATAATAAAATGGGTCTTTAAAAGAAAGGCTTTGAGGACACAGTCTCTTGTAGTTGGCCTGACGGAGGACAGGTGACTCTGTCCAGGACTGGAGACCATGTTGCAGTTATCCCAGTAGCATAAGGCTTGGATTAGCTGTGTTTAGGCCTGTTAAAAGGTGAACTGGGATAGGGACCAAGTGGGGGGTTTTTTGTTTGTTTTTGTTTTTTATCCAGTAGTGATAAGGATTCCTCCATTTATATGGAACCTCATTTAAAGGAGTGAGTTTTTAAAAAAGGGCACTCAGTTGCTGCACCTTCATACAGATTTGGGGCTTTGAGTTAAGGTCAGCGCAAAGAAATCACAAACAGACAAAATAAAAAATAACTAGAAGAAATCTTGACCTGATTCTATAGTGTTTCATTTAGGGAGCTCAACCTTCTTTGCCTATATGTGGCATTGCAATCTTTATGTTCAAAGTAAGGCAGGCCTTTAAATCAGATTAGCTCATAGATAATGCAGCCACCTCTCTGTTGCCTTCCCGAAAACTAAAGACTTGTGATGCCGCACTCTGTAATGAAGGAAGACTGAAACCTTTTTTAAGCGAATGCAGGCTTTTACAGAGTCCTGTAACTCCAGAAAGGACCATAAGAAGTACAAGACTCGAGGTCAAATAAGTGCACAGGATTATGTATTGCACCTCAGCTTACCTCTGAGCACAGGGTAGGTAGGCTTCATCTCCCTGTGATGGAGAAGTTGAGAGGACAAGTTATGTTTATTCTTCCAGGATGCCAGCATGGGGACTGTCCCCAGTATTCCTCACACTGGCCACTGAACTAACAGTCTCTGCTGTGTTTAGCTTAATGATGCTTACAGTTAACTGCTGTAAATTTCTTTGGGGTTTTATCTTGGTTCTTATGGTGCTTATTGTGGCTTAAGCTATCAAGATTCAGAGTGCATGAGAGTGGCATTTTGTAACTGAAAGGTGTTTTCCATTTCCATTTCCATTTTGTTCATAGCATTTGAATTAAGTCACCATGGAAAAATGCCAAATAATACACCCTTTTTTTGGCAAATAAATGTTTAAAACTAGATGCCTCAAGCATATTACATGCTTTGCAGGAAATTCCCAGACTCTTACAACAAAGAGACAGCCAGGCACCATATCAACTCCTCACAGCAGATCAAAATCACCGTTACTTGCTGGAGTTGCAGGCTAAATATAAGCGCTCCCCTATGTCCACACTCCCCCATCCCACCCAGATGGCTGGTCCCAGAGATACATTCTGTGGCCACTGTTTGTCTTTAAGGGACATTGTTATAGAAACCAGGTATCTATGAGAACTTCAAAATACCAAGAAGAAAAATAACATATGCATCTGTATCTCATACTGGAAGAGCCCAGGCACGTGACATGTTCTTGAGATACTGCTGCACATTTCATTTAGTAATAAAAATACTTTCTATACTGGAATAATAAAATGTGTTTGAGTGAATAGGTAACTTCCATCTCACAGCAAGGAATTTAGGAGCTGGGGTTTTTTTTCTTTGTAGAAGTTGGGCTCCCTATTATACAATGACCAGCTATTTGATTCATAATCTCTACAGCATGTGGTGATAAACCTAACGGTATTTTAATGAAAAGTGTTTTGCATGGAATTAGGCTGCGTAAAGCAGAACTGTGCTAGACAAAGTGCTGAGCTTAGAAGACGTTATTAATGAAGTCACTTGTGTCCTAACAGAAGGACATAAATCACCCAAACCATATTCTCATTTAATTGAATCAGCCTTCAGTGCTTGTATTCAACATGCCTGTAAAAAATCATGGGAAACTGGGCTTCTTGCTGAAATGGTGCAGTGTACAGCGAGGACAGAGAACAGCTTGCACATGTACAACCCCCCAAGGCAAAATGAGGGAGATTTGGCCTTGCATGTCTCCATTCTCTTCCCTTCATTTCCTGCATATTACAATTTAAAGGGTGGGATTGTCCCCTGGGAGGGGGCACAAGGCCTTTGTGGTACACCAGAACTGACCTCTCTTACGTAGACTTCAAACAAAACTAAACTCCACATCTGAATAGCTCTGATTTTGGTGGAAAAAATTCAGAGCAAATCTGGACTTTGCAATTCAAGTCCCTAGGACAGTTTGGAAACAATGGTTGTGAGCTGCTAATCCATGTACTGTGAGTGAGTCATCTTCGGGTGTGTGTTGCTCCCTCTTTTACCACGGCTGAAGAGCAAAAAAGACTAGAGGCAAGCCTCTTAACTTTATCCGTATGTTTTGTCCACAGACAGAAAAAAACTGACTGGAAACTTGCTGAAGCTGATACAACAGGATGGTGGGCTTTTGTCCATGCCTAAACTRCAGGTAAGGATTGTATACTGGCCTAGATCAATGAGACAGATCCCTGAATACCATCTTTGTTTCAATTTTGTGGATAATGAGATCAAAGGAAGAGTTATTCCACACAGTCCAGCACGAATCTGTCTGAAAAGCAATTTCTGTAGTTTCTTTTATGGTTGACGTGCCTTCTGGAGCTTGTAGAAAAAAACTTTTTTTGCCTTTTGGTTAAAAGATGCCCCAGAATTATTTTTTTTTTCTCACCCAAGATGGAATGACCTCCTTTTTCTCTTCCTGTTTACCTGTACCTTATTTCATGTGATTGGGCCCTGGGATATCACACGGTAGTCTGGGGTTTAAGTAATTTCCTCCTTCTTCTTAAGATCTCAACAGTTTTATTGTATGTTTGAATTAAACATTTCTTGCCTCAGGCTGCTTTCTAATGCCACAGCCTTTTGAAGACACTGGTAAGATTTGGACTTTTAGCACTTCTCCTAATGTAATGTATAATTTTGGAGGATAAATGTGAGCATCCTATTGAGTCTAGTGATGTAAAGGAAGAAAACTGGGCAAAGGGTGCCAAGTTTGGTCCATGAACATTACCAGTTTTGAAGGCAAAGTTTGTTGTCCTACGCCACTGAGATTCAAAACTTATTCAGTCTGATAGCACAAAATTATCTTTGACTTCAACAGAGCCAAGATCTAAAGTTTTAGTTTCAAAAAAGAATCTAGGAACTGATTACTGATATATACCTATGTGATCAGGAATGTATCTTTAAAATTGGAAGACTTAGTTATGTAAAGAGGCAAAAACATTCAGAAGGGCTCAGAAAATCTTCCCTTTTCCTTTACTATTTGTTCTCAAGTACCTTGATTGACAGTGGAGTCCTAAAAGTTTGAGACTTCTCCAAGGACTTCAAACCTGGAAAGCATGTTGTGGTTCCACCGCCAGATACTGCCGTTACTTAATATATGTGTGGAGCCATAGGTGGTTTACATGGCCTCTAGACATTGCAATCTCAGTTGAACTCTGCAAGACAAGATGCTGAGGGAGATAACAATAAGGAAAGAAATGGAGGAGGAATCCACTGGACAGSTTTATGGACTATTTGGGAAGTACCATTATGCAGGATGTCAGCATTTTTTTGTTTGTTTTTAGAGAAGTGAGTAGTCTGTTAGTATGTGGAGTAGGGTCAAAGATTATGGGGCTATAGGAAATAGCTAGTCTTAAAGAAGGAGTTATATGAAGCCTGTGGAAGCAGATTGCTAACAAGATGATTGCCTGTTGCAGAAATAAAAATCCTAGTTGACTGGAAAGCCTGGGATTTTTTTTGCTACTCTGAAAAGACCTAGCACACTGCTCAGGAGCATTTGAATGAAAAATGAGTACACGAAATATCCAACACGTTTTGGTTTTTTTTTTCCAGTTGCTTTTGAAMTCAACCATAAGCTAAATAAAAGAAGGACTTTGCATCTTCCCACTGCATAATCATCAGCTAATACTCAAAATAAATCTTACTACATGTTAAAAAAAGTTCATTTTTATTGTTTACTATTATTTCTTCTGTGTCCTTTTCTACTTCGRTTTTCTGAAAATCTTCTCACTTCCAAAAGTGTTTGAGTTTTTTYCCTAAACCTTTTGCTTGGTGTTAGCTTCTTTTTGCTGTATTCCCTTCACCAACTCAGACTTTCTGAAGTAATTATAGGCTTTCATTCTCCCATTCATTCAAATTTTTGTTCTGGAAAACTTCAAGCCCTCCAAGTGTTATATCTTGAGCAAACTGCCAATTTTCTATTCCTAACACAATAAGACTACCAAGAATTAGCCACACTTTGCTGGCAGTGTCAGTTACAAGGCAAGATGGGTGTTTTAGGCACACACATGGCGTTCTGTTACAATGTTGGTTTGTGACTATCTGGAAGTCTTTTTATGTATATGCTTCTGTTTTGTCAGACACCTATCATGTCTTGTWATCCTGCTTACTTGAAAAGTATCCATCTTCAGCCAGGGAAATAACCTGGATATTGTCTAATAATAATAATAAAGTATCCTTTTAATCTAAAAAAGATAATAGCTAGTGTGTATAGAAATAAACCAAAATAATTAAGAGATTAAGAGATTGCCCCCTGTCCAGGCTCAACAGTGACCTAGCCAAATAACATCAATATGTAAAGCCAAAGGGATTTCCCAAACTATTGAGCACTTTTCTGTCTGGCAGATGACTCTGTTAACTCTTTGTGTTTTATGACCCATACTTGTTCTGATGTCTTACGTATTTCTTGCTCCAGAATTTGTTACTCCATTAGCTGTGTCATGGGCCAGGCTTTTGGAGGACATAGGCCAAGGGAGAGGAGGCAGAGGCAGCCACCAAGCGACTTTGTGCCCTCTCTTTCCCTGACACTGCTCCAGCTCTTGTAGCTCTTTTGGGAAATGACCTACTCGTTTTCCAGCGAAATGGGTCAGCAGAGTCCTGAAGAGCATGTGCTGTGGGCCCTCAGCTCTCCCCACTAACCTTTGGTATGTGTTTGTGCTGGGCGTTCATGGGAGCTTGCACAAGGCAGCCTCTGGTTGTGTTATGGAGCGCTGACCCCTGGGACTTGGCAAGAATAAAACTTACAATTGTTTGCCTTACTTATGGGCAGGACTCTTAATCATTTATAACTAAATTGACAGATTTCAGAGAAAAGGGCTAAATCCTGTCCTCAGCTCTACGCTTTCGTAGAAACTATGCACATCAAGCCAAGGGTGTAGGGCCAGTTGGCTGTGTGGGACAACTCTCCTTCTATTGGTCAGTGTGTGGATAATGAAATTAGCTTGTTTTGCTCTTACAACAAATGCTCCGATTTTAGAGCTTGCAATAAAATGCTCAGAGCCATCACAATGTCGTGGGATGGTGCCTCTGTCTTGGAGGCAGGTAGGCCCTGCAGAGGGCTGAAAGTTGGAGTACAGACTCACTGCAACTCTCTCACCGCCTCCTCACCTGAGTTTCTCTTGGAAAAAAGCAGGACGTATCTGTGTGCATCCAGTGCTCATCCACATGCTAGGGAAAGTGTGAATCAGGAGCTGGGAAGTGTTCTCAGGACCCCCGTTTAGGTAGATCCCCCCGGCTTGAGACCAGAATTCGGCCAACTTTCTTTTACCGTCCTTGGCAGARCCTTATAGGAAGAAACTGCTCCCTGATCCTGGAGCATGAAATATGAGCACAGTTGGGGGGGTTTCCCCTCCTAGTGCTTCTGCTTGGAGCCAAAGCAGCATTGTCCTAACTCATAATTTATGGCTGATCTTTATAGCAATAAAAAAAAAAAAAAAAGAAAAAAAAGCTTTCTGGAACAATTTGCTGAAGTTTTCTTTCTCTTAGCACAGTCAAATGATTCATAATTAGAAAGAGTAGTGTATTTTACTTGCTGCATTCTGGCTATACAGAAACTCATTAAGGACCATGCATCCAAGTGCACTGTTTTATGTAAACAAAACCTCTGAGAGAGATATAGATGTCTGATAAAGATGAAAAGAAAAACTGATTAATACCAGGCCACATTAATAATGGCCATGTCATGTTCTTAAAAAAAAAAAAAGTAATCTGCTGTGCAATTATTGCACATTTCACAGCAGGAAAGGGGAAAGGTAAGAAGTAGAAATTCAAATAGAAAGGCCAGCCACAGATTTTAGACCCAAATGATTTAATTCCACAAGATTTGAAACTTTTGTGGGTTTAGTTCAGTGGTGAAATGGGCTGACCAAAGCAGCACTCCGAAATGCTTAAGATTGGTATTTTGAAAGTATTTTCTACTAAGACTGTCAGGATATGATCATGTTTCACACTGAACATCTATACGTTTAGCATATGAATTTGACAGGATCTGTCTTGTTGCATGAAGGTAGGATTTTGATTTTTTACGTATGTAGCTATGACATCTGCGGTTTTAATATATTTAAACTAAATGGATAATTCAAGTTTAAAACTACCTAGCCATATCTCCTGGTGGTGCTGTATGGAAAGGTGGGTGCTCTTTGAAGTAGTGTAGCTTTTCTCTGGAGACTTTGTATGTCCACAGCCAAAGAAATCTACAAAGTACAGTCTGTGATGACCACCTCAGACTCGCAGCCCTGCCATGTTCTTTGTAGCGTTTGGAGAGAGCAGCACTCTGGGGCTGAAAACAGAACTTCCTGTGTGCACACAGGCAGTTTAGTTAGCCTTCGTTTTCACCTGCCATGTTTCTTGCTTCTCTGATGCAGAAGCTGGAACAGGTACAGCAGGAAGGCTGCAAGTGGACGTGGTTTGGGGGCCTTTCAGCCAGTTTTATAGACCAGAGAGAATGGGCTTTTCTCTATATTAGAAGTTCCTTCAGCTTGGCTGCCTATCAAAAAAGAAAGCCAAACCTCCAAGCTTTACTAATCATTAAATTTACATAACTGGAAGTAGCCAAGTCTAAAGTCCTTGAACATGTGAATACTGTGTATGCTAGTTTTATATATGTATATTTTATATAAATAAATGTTATCTATGTGTGTGTGTATATATATATATATGCAAAAACACAGAGGAATATATATATATATGCATACATATAAACATACATATACTGAGGAAAATGGTTCTTTTCGGGCTTGCCCAGTCTGAGACAGGAGAAATAGTATGTGACTTCCACCATCTGATTTACTCCCTTCCAACATAAGCAGAATTGAACTTAAAATATGTTATTAACAACAGTTTGCATTACCCACATAAAGCAACATAAAGGTCAGACACTTCCACTGAGACTAGATAAACATGCCAGAAGTATGTTAGCTTGAATTTTAACCGAGATGATTTTAATAGCACAGTTTACATAAGTATTTGAACTAGGGTACTTATACAAACTGAATCATCTTAACTTTTTCCATAGGTAATGGTATGGAGCCAAGAAAGTATAGAGTGTAGGTGTTTATCCCATGACTTTCACTTACAACAGTTCTACTGTATAACGTAATAGATCCAATTACCACCAGCACTGAAACAAATGGTTCTGTGTCTTTGATTCTCTCTTTATTACCAGCCTCTCTATCAAGTTTTCTGAATAAATTGTTAGTTCCTTTTGTGCTCTTCTGCTCTATTTTCTACAGAGTTAGAGGCAGAGGTGGATGCTGGGTGTAGCTGTTCATGATCAAGGGTTCCTAGGATCTGAGTTTTATATATCTGATGGCAGCTGCTACGCTTCAAAAAGATGGTGAAGCCTCATTAGAGCAATTGGACTGCTGAAATAAAGGCACTGTGACTATGGTCATGACTGAATGTACGATAGACTTCSGTCAATCCCTTTCATTTCTGAGTGTTCATTCAGAGTAAAATGATCTTTTCTTCTAAGTCACTTAGTGAATTTGGTTGAACTTGCTTTTTTGGTATTTGTTAAGTTCTTTTTCTTCTTGGCAGTCGCTTTAGAAGTGACTCGAACTCTCCTGCCTATAAAATATTCCACGCCCCTTAACTGCTAGTCGCTGTCGCTGCCACTGTTGGTACTATAACTATAGGTAATAGCTATAACTATTGGTTATAGCAACGATAGAAGGGAGTTATTAGGTCTGAAAAATGTTTCTGCTGAATCTGTGCAGTGTGAAGGGTCTGAACACCGAAAAAGATTGAGTTCTAAGGAGCACTCTGCTTTTTCAGAGCTCCCTTTTTTTCAGTTTTAGTCATTGAATAGGTCTTTAAAAGACCACTCTGTTGATCCAATTGGAAATGGGAATTGTAGCAGAGGAACTACCCGTAGCGCTTTTATTTACCACTGTTGAAGGTGTAGGAGCAATAGATTCTCATCTGCTAAAAAATGTTCCAGTGAAAAAAGTAGCTCTCCACTGCTGCCTCTCAAGGACACTCAAGAAGAGTATGAGCTATTGCTGGGGTGTTCATTTGAATGGGTTGAGCAGAGATAAGTTCTGTCGCATGAAATTTGCTTAGTAGAAAAGCACTGTGCTGGTGCTAAATGATTGGGCAGTTCTGCTTTGCAGAAGGTGGGTCTTTTGGTTTGACTTACTCAGCTGATATGTAAAAATATGTGTTTTCTAGTGGCTGCACCTACAGTATCAGATGAGATCAAATGAGGATCTTCCTCTCACTCCCAAGAAGTCTGACTCAACTGAGATATGCACCAGGTGAACACACCAAACCAAAGGTAAGCAAGACTTGGTGGTTTCCTCTCGGAGTGAGCCACAAGCCAAATTCCTCAGTTACCTGCACACATCAGACTTGGGTCTCAGGGAACAAGGAAGGAGAGGTTATAGGCGCAGTTCACCAGCAGGACATGATTGTGGCCTCTTCCTGCAAAAGCAGGGATGGAGGGCATAAAATTGCACAGCAGAGAAACTTAGCAATGCTGGCCTCTGCAGTGCCTGCAAATTCACTCCCTCCTGCAGCACAGCTCTGGACTGGCAAAGGGTTACACGGCTGCTGAGCGTTGTTCCCGGACACRTGATTCAACCGCAGCCTGAGAACATGTGAACAACTTGCAAACTGTGTGGGCCTCAGCACGGCAGAGCTTGACAGTGCTTGTAATAGCCTATGGCTGTGCTCACGATGCTCAAAATGTAAGAGCCCCCTCTAAGGAGACGAATGAAGCTAATGATCAGTGTGCCCAGAAATCCACCTTGGTTCCTGGTGTATTCCTTTTTCAGGGCTCTCATATGTAACTGACTTCAGAGATGCTTCTATCACTTCTTCTTTCACTGTTCTTCTCTTCTCTCCTACTTCTCCTTTCTGCTGACCACTTATCAATGATGAGCAGCTTTTGGCCCAAGCTCGATGGGTCAGATCTYGAGTAATGAACTTGTTTGCTGAATATCTATGACTGAGATATTTTGGTGGAAAAAATGCTGATAAATTAGATGCAGGAAAATTGTTAGAGAGAGATGCTGGGTTGCTGTTATTTCAATATAATTCTATTGTAGAACACAATAATAAAATTATAAAGCTCCCCCGCTGAAATAGTCAAAGCATAGTCAAATGCAAACAGTCAAGTGAGTTGCTGAAAAGATCATGGATTAAGTATCTCACTCTTGGCCAAATGGAAAGAGTTGCCTGTCCTTCCTTCCTTCCTTCCTTCCTTCCTTCCTTCCATCCATCCATCCATCCATCCATCCATCCATCCATCCATCCATCATAAATCAAAGGCAAGTAAGAGTAAGAAACATTGCATGAGTTCAGCGCCTGTAAGATATAACCACTATGGAGTTAACAGTGAATTGATTTTATGCTAAACTGTGTTACATCCACAACCAGCAGCAGAATTGAAAAACACTTCTACAATGGGAAGCATTAATGCAGCTGCCTGAATAGGATTTTTCCTCTCTCCAGTGTGCATTTCAAAAAACAGGGGCTCTACTTTCACCAAACAAATCGTCATTTTGTTTGCAAGTTTGAAGGCCAGAAAAATCAATTAAGGAAGAACTGCAAACAGGTCACATAGTGGCAGCAGCCTGGCCCTTCATACATACTTGAAGGCACTTGCATGAACCACATAGCAGCAAAAATTCACCAGTGACAGCTGTTGTAGCTTCCTTTTCCTCCTATCCCGATCCCTCTCTGCTCTCCGTTCTACTGAATATTGTACTATGAAACAACTGACTTTCTCCATCTGATACACWGAAATCCAAAGACTGCTGCATGTTTGACAGGTACGTTTCTGTTAATCATATAGTTTTCAAAATGAAAACGGCAAAGTGGAGGATAATTGGGCGATTTGTAGCCAGGGGGCTGTATGTGTTTGAGATACATGCAGATTACCCTTATTCCTTCCAGCACAAGAATGCCAGCAAATGATGTCAAGGCAGCACCGGCACTGGGGTGTGTGTGTGTGTGTGTGTGTGTGTGTGTGTGTGTGTCTGTGCATGTGTGTGTACGTGTGTGGTGCCTCGTAGGGCTTTCTACCCCTCTTGCAAAGCACAGGCCTTAATGAGTTCCAGGGGGACAGTGGCTTGTCAATCACAATATACTTTTCAAGTAATAGTCATCTCTGCCCCATCACAGAACCACAAGGCATGAAATAATTAGAAAGCCCAGAGTAACTGCTCTGTTTTACAAGAGCAAAATCCTTGCACGGATCATTTACATAAACTTGTCACTTCCCATTACAGTTCTAATGCAGGCTGGGTAATAATCATGGGACCTGAGGAGGGGAGGTCAAGGTATGATACTCCTCCATGTCTGAAGCACGAGGTACGCATGTGCCCAGGTTTCCATCCCCCACTGAATTAATGTAAAGTATCTTTTATTTTCCATTAAATAAGAACTATTCATGCTGCTATGGCAGCGGACCATGTGCAGCCTCCTCTTCTTAAGAGAGAAAAAAGGCTTTTGCGTCAAGCCATTGTTAGGGGAGAATTCACTTTGAGGAGCATTTCAAAGCTGATCCGATTGGGGAAGGAATAATGTTAAATATTTGGTATGAAATATTTATAAGACGCACACATGAACATCTGACAAAGTCGCCTGGAAAATGCACATTTTCATCTTCGACAGTCTTAGCTCTTTCCRAAGGAGAGGGTGGGAAGAGGGTGTGCGCACAGTGAGAATTGTATATATATAAAAATGCATCTAAACACACACACACACATATAGACATGCAGAAGCAAACACACTTGCATACAAATGCTTGAATGAGTTGATGGGATTTAAGGCAATCTGCATCTGAATGCTGCTCTCCAAATATGGCAGCAATAAGGGCTTGCTGGAGTCTATTTTAGTGATTGTGAGCAGGAAAGCCTTGCACTCATGCCTATCAGAAGGAGTGTCCGCAGAACCACGCAGGTGATCTCTGCTGCTCTTGCTGCTGTTTTCCAGCAACCATTTTGTTGGTACTCTTCACARCTGTCATAGGGCATCATCTACATTTCTGCCACAAGAAAACAAGCCTGTGTATTTTGCACAGATTAACTTTTTACACATGCATGTGTACATGGGTGTTTTATTATGTTTTTATTTTTAAAGAACACACACAATTAAAGATAAGCAAAGAGCAGATTTGTTTACAGGCAACTGGTGTTCTATATTTTTAACATTTTCCTGTCTTTGGGATGAAACAAGCTAAGTTTATTTTTTTCCAAGGGGCTGAGAGAGGTTTCAGAAAAATGGGCTATCACCTCATTCTCGGTGCTTATGACAAGAGATAAAGAGAGAATGTAATGGCTCCCTCCTTACGGCAGTCACAGTGAAATGCACAGGATGGCATATATTAAATAACCAGAGTAAGGRAAACCATGTGATTTGCTTCCCTTGTAAGGGAATCTAATAGCTCTCTGTTCAAAACCTTATTTCCTTTTCCTTTGTTTTTTTGCTGTCTCTTCTTTGCTTGCCTCACTTCTACCTGTGTGGGCTGTTGTTATTCTGTGGTGTGCAAATGTCTGTCTAGTTTAGACTGTAACTAAGTTGGAGCAAGACCTTTCTGTCTCTTTGTGCTTCATACACATACATATTGCCATACATATGTGCAATACATACACAGTTCCACAAAATTAATAGCAATAGTTTTGATGGGCTAGAAGGCCATATTTTTCTCTCTATATAGACATGAGTTGTACAGTCACTGCCACTTTAAAAATTGCTAGATCACATGCCCCAGGTGGGCTCCATATATTGTACATGTCTTTATGTGAGCAGGCTGTTCGATAGCAGGAGAGCATCATTTGCCCTCATGTGCCAGCTTTTGTCTTGGAGTGGAAGTGCGGGGCCTGGTGAGAGGCAGGAGATGAACTGTGTCCAGACTCCGCTCCTTATCTCCGAGATCACCAAGAGGGAGAGTATTGTTGACGGATTTAAATCGGCTTTTTCCCCCCTTGTGCACAACAAAAGTCTAAATCCCTTTTCAGGCCAGATTGCTCCATTTCGCTGCATGGGCTGGGCAGATTGGAAACAGGTTTGTCACTCAGCCTTTCTCCCAACCTAATCAGTAGACACTGGGGTGGTGGGATTTCAGTGCTTGGTGTATCACCCTTTAATCTATGGAGCCGGCCTTTAAAAGCTGCTGACGCTGTTGCTGCTATGTGTGAGCTGCTTCTGTCTGTCATTTCTGAAGACAGATATAAAAAATAATGTTAACCACAAGCATAAGCAGAGGGTTTAGCAGGGATTTGAATCTAAAATGTGATACTTCACACAGGCCAACTTGATTTGGTCCAGCAGAGCTGAACCCCTTATTCTGTTATAATAAAGTGTGTCATATAATAGAGGAGATCGTGGTGGGATTTACCGCCTCTGTGTTTTAGCTCTGCTGCTGAATAGGTCTAAATGGCAAATAAACATAAATGGTGAGGGTTGGAGCAGAGAGGCTCTGCAGACTTGACAGCAGGTTGCAAAGGCATCTCTGGTGACACCACAAGCTCGTGAGTGTCTCTGCGTTTGCCAGGGCCTAGTCCATGGCACACGGGCTCTTGCGCTGCCATAGCAGCTCTAAGGGGATGATCAGCAAGCAGGGTAAAGAGGCAGGGCTGATTGTGCCTATGTGTTGGCAGATGCAAGCAGCATGCCAAGAGAAGAAGCTCCACAGCCATGTGATAGGTGTGATGGAAAATGTTAAAAGCATTGGAAGAATAGAGGCTCTTCAGGGCAAGGTCTGCAGCTCTTTGCACGCACGCACACTTGTATCTGCAGGCAGGTATTTACACTCACATATGTACCCTTTGTATGAASCACAGTCTGAATCAGATATGCACTGAGGTCTCTAAACAAACAAATACAGTTTTCCTTTTCAGCAAAGATGTATTTCATTGACTACTATGCAGTAACATTTCTAACTTTGTCTTCTGTACATAAATATTCTGTAGATAAACTACATCCCTTTCAACAGCATCTGTATTGTTTTGTAGTATTAAAAGATACTACTAGTAAAAAGAATTGCATCTAGCAGCCCAGCTTATTTTAAGTCCTGCATAGCACATGAGAGTGCAGGGTAGAGAAAGAATGAAGAACAAGGTATTTGAGAAGCAAGGGTGCTTCAAGAAGTACACTCAGATATTAGGACTTAACTCTGCTATGGCAAAAGCCTGCCTGGGTGGAATCAAACCATCTTGCAGGGACCCACTGTGTTTTCTTTTTCAACTAGAACAAAAGTTTCAGCAAATTCAGTCTTTTTAGTCCTTGTAAACTATGGCCAATTATTTTATTCAAATGCTAAGAAATTCCTTTTAGATTTAGCTCCCTAAGGACAGTGAGAAAAATACCAGACTTCTTTCTCTTTTTTGTGTCTGGGAAGGGACACAAGTATTTCAAGACTCTCCAGATACTGTTGCCTTCTAGAAGAGATGGAAGACTTTAAAAGAGGGTGTAAAGTAAATTTTCCTGCTTGTTTGTCCTGGTACTGAATTGTACCAGTCCCATTCCTGCTTGACTTAATATCTGAGAATATTCTCAGCACATTTTAGGATATGAGTGCAAAACCTTTGATGACATGACATGGACATTGTCAAAGCCTATGACAAGAGTCTTGAGCGCTGTTGTAAATAAAGAATAGATTTTTTTGAACATACCATTCACTTGAATGGTTATCTAGAAGTAGGGGCACAGTATTTCTGCGTCTTGACAGATGCATCAGTATTAGAGAATCACTGAGACCGCTTAGGGTCTCTCAACAGCAGGAACAGATGAGAGGAGATGATAAAAATGTAAAAAATAAGAGGCAAAATGCGAAAAGAGTAGTCCATATGCTTAAAAAAATAAAAACTTTTTTTTTTCCAGTGTGACGAATAGAATCCTGGCCCTGGTGCACTCTGCTACAAGTCCAGCTGGCTGATCATAGAATGAATCATAGAATCACAGAATGCCCAAGGTTGGAAGGGACCTCAGAGGTCATCGAGTCCAACCCCCCTGCTCACACAGGGTCACCTAGAGCACGTGGCACAGGGCTGCATCCAAGCGGSTTTTAAAGATCTCCAAAGAACGAGACTCCACAACCTCTCTGGGCAGCCTGTTCCAGTGCTCTGTCACCCTCACAGTGAAGAAATGCTTCCTTAAGTTCCTGTGGAACTTCCRATGCTTCAGTTTGAAGCCATTTCCTCTAGTCCTATCCCTGCCCACCACTGAAAAGAGGCCGCCCCCCTCCTCCTCACTGCCTCCCTTGAGGTATTTATACACGCTGATCAGGTCCCCCCTCAGCCTCCTCTTCTCCAGGCTGAACAGACCCAGCTCTCTCAGCCTTTGCTCACAGGGCAGATGTTCCAGTTTAACCCAGTGCCCTGKTGAAGAACTTGCAAGTGATCCGCATGGGGACTGCACAGTATTGAGAACCTGATTCCAGTGGTGGGAAGCTGGGAAGGCAGGTGATCTCCTAGGTGAATTCTCTTTCCAAGCAAGCTAGGTACATATATATTTAAGTATATATATATGTGTGTGTATACATATTTTTAATATACATACATACCTAATTTAATTAAACAAAATTCCTTACAAGCTGAGACTTCTCAAGACAAGTTTCATTTAAGAGTTACTTTTTAAAATTCCCCTCTTCTAACATAAGTCTCTAAGAAAGAAGGACTTGATAGTCCAACACGGGGAAGTGTTGGCTTGTAAAACAGATTAATCTAGTTTACAAAACGTTTCAGGAAAGTCATGTCTTTGATTAATAATGGTTTTGGCAATTGGTGACTAAATGGGAATTTTTGGAGAAGAAATTCAGCAGAGTGTAAATACAATAAAAAAGTTTTTTTTTTCATTAATAGGAACAGATTTTTCTCATAATTTTTCCCATTTTGTCCTCATGCAGGACAAAATACTCAGTGTCAGATGTAACACTTTGTTTTATGGCACTTCCAAGGGGAGGAAATGATGAAGTAGCTGTGGTCTCTTTCATCCAAGAACCCAGTGATTAAGGCACTTATTTTGTATGTGGGAGGCCAGAGTTGAATTCCTTCTGCTGAATATGGACATTTGTACTGCTGTGTCTCAGGTATAAGGGATTTATTTATGTGGAGGAAAGAGAAGTTCCTAATTCCTCTTATTGTTCTGCTTTTATTGGGATAATACTTTGAATATTTTGGAGGCCAGGGAGACAATAATTTTTTGGCTTAGTATTTTCACTTAGATCTGTAATCCAGGCTGTGTTACACTAACTACTTAAATTAAGAGTGTAAACTTCTGGAGTGGGAACTGCAACCCTTTCCTGTTTCTCCCATGACTCGTTTAACCATTCAGTGACAAAATCATTTTGCATACTCTCTGTGCAACAATGAATCATTTATTTGATGCAAAATAAAGTCAGGAGGAGCAGCCTGACCCCAGAGGCCAGGCTGGGCGGCTGGCACAGAGGTTAATACCCTGGCAGACAGTGGCACCCTGGCTGAGACCCGGCTCACATGCTGCCCTGGCATGGGAGCAGAGAGGATCCGCTTGGGGTCTCAGCCACAGCCTGGCCCAGTGCATGGGTGAGAACTCCTGTCTCTCCAGAAGACTTATAAATCTAATAATGACTTTCTTTCCTGCCTTCTTTGTCTCTTCTAGTCTAAGCTAAAAGCATTGACCCGATATTCAAAATAGTTGTGGGAAGATAAGAAACCACAGTTAGCAGAAAAAACCTTTTGCCCAGYTATTTTCTTGACATCCTGGTCACAACTGCAACATGAAATAACTGAGAGTTACCTTAATTACTCAATTGGTTGTATGCTTGAGAAAGCAGTACTGAAATTTTGTAGGAGCTTAGGCCTTCATGACAGATTACACAGTACCTTAAAAACCACTGAGGCTCTAACATCAACACGGAAGTCCAAAGGTAAATGAGCTGCTTCTGTGTCAGAACTGAAAGGAAGGTGGAATAAAGCACATAAATTGTAAAAATTGCACTTCTGTATAGATAGAAGGATTAGCTCAATGGTCTTGAGTGACTTTCTCAGTTTTCATTTATTTCACTATAACTTTAAACTTTGCTTTATTCCTTTTCATACCTTCTTACTCTTCTTGTGTAAAAAGCACTGCAGCTCAGGTGAATTTTAATTCTTTTTCTCTACGTTTTCACTATAAGGCTTTCTTCTGCTCCTACAGCAGAAGCCCCTTCCAGAGACATTGCCATCAAAAGATTCTCTATCCAAGAATGATGCCAAAATAAACTGCTTGAGGTCCCACCTCCCAAGACTTTCAGGAATCCCAGCAGAGACTGATGAGTTAGACTTGGCACTCTTGCGTATTTTAAATATATTCTTTTCCCCTCTGGGTCATGGTTATTTAGACAGATGTGTTCAGAGACTTTCAAAAATTAAGGCAATGACAAAGTTAGCTCATTTTGTATTATCGAAGTGACCAAAAAAATGTCATTGCCGCAGCAAACAACCAAGACCTCAGGGTCTAGCTGTTCTAGACCATGATGAAGTTTGTTTTGTTCTTTCTGCTAATTACAGACCTCATTCAGAGGCAGTAATAAGATTTCTATGCCCTGGACTCTTGCAGTGTCATTCCCTCATGGCAATACTTTGTATCTTTGCCTGGGATGTAAAAGTGTTTGCTTAGGTCTTGTGAGAGGCTGATTTGGGTACCTCATGCCATGCCTGTGACAATCCAACTGCTGATAGCTGCACCTTCAGCTTTGTGCTTCTGCTGGGAGCAAAGCTTTCCTCTAAAACAGGTGTGATTCTCATTGCTGTGGCTGCTAGAGAAGGCTGCCTTTTAATTGAAGTGATAAACCTGAATGACTGTTATCCCTGCAGGAAAAAAAAAAAAAAGAAAGAAAAAAAAAGCCCTCATGAGACCAGCAAATAACTAATGACTGTGTCTGCTGTGGAGCAGCTAGAAAAGCATGTCCCCTTGTCTTGCTTGGTTTGGCAGAGCTGGAACATTCACGTGAAGAGAAGCTGCTGCAACTTGCCTCCCGGTTTCCCAGAGCCGTGCAGACTCCGATGCCAAGAGCACTCTTCCATTGCAGCACACGCGGCAGGTAAGTGTCTGCCAAATGACACAAACCTCCTAACAAGCAGCTGAGGGTAGGGTGGGGATTCCAGATAGGGACAAATCTATTTCCCTCAGGAAATCTGGAGCAAACCAATGAGTGTAAGAGGTATTTCACTGCTAATTAAATCCTGATTGTTTGGCTTTACTTACAACAGATTAAGAGTATATCAAATTTGACAGCAGGTGCTGACTAGTTTGAAAGTGTTGGTCCATCGAATCAGGTAAGGGTTTTATATACAGTAACCCTCTTTAAAAGGAAGACTGTAACTTGCTAAGTGATAGATACACCCAACCCTTTCAAGTATAATGCATTATTGATAGAGTTATAATGTTTTTGACTTATTTTTATTCCCCCAAATATCTGCAAAATTCCCCTGTGCTCTAAAGAAGTCTCCGTCTGTCTCATATTCTATCCTCTTCATTTGTGTGTATAGAATGAGTGCAGAAGAAGGCATCTTCTCCCAAGGTACCAAGGAAGGAGTGGTCATGTTTTATGAGTAACTTTTAGGTTTCCATAGCTGACCAGAGTGAAGAAATAAATGCCCAGGAGATGTGAAAGTGAAAAATATTAGTTGCCCGTGCAGCTTAGGAACTAAGATAGGGAAGTCATTAAAAATCGGATTATGCTTTACAGTACCTGAAAAACTTCTTTCATAATGATCTCTGACCTACAGAAAACAACAAAGCAGATTAGAATAAATAAAAAGTTGTAACATGCCTCCCTACTGGCAGGGCTGCCTGAAGCTGTAATGCAAAATGGTACTTGCAGAATGACCAACTCTGATTGTTCCCAATCATGAAATTGCTCTAAGACCATTATGGTTAAAAAGTAGATTTTCTGCTTCTGTAATTTGCTCTCTAAAATATGAGATTCTAATGCTGAATTAAAAACTATCTTTGGTGTCTAACACTGCATTCATGTGGCCAAAAGGATTTTGTACCTCATCAGTTGGATGAAAGAGAGTCATTCTTTTAGTATTCTCCATTGCATTGCCAATCTTCTAGAAGCCAGTAAGTACTCCTTAAATTTCCTGAAACACGATAAAATTTCTGCTCCTAGAGCTAATGCTAGAACTTGTTAGTATGCTGGTGATCGATACTGGCAGAAAGATTCCCTTTGTCCTAGGAATGTTTTAAGTAAGATCTTCCCTCAAGTGCTGTGGTAGTAGTAGCATTGTTACAAGCTTGCTTCCTGCCCTCTGGAATGTGGCAGACCATCAACAGGTGATAGCTCCTTTTCTTAGAAAGACAAAAGAATAAGTGCAGGGATGTCTTCTCCCCAGTATCAAGGTTTGCCATGAGAAATCTCTGCATGGCTTTCTCTCCTGCAAACTGCTGCTGCTTAACCACCCTTCTGCGGCTCTATGTATGTGGCCCTTCTGGTGCTCTGAGTTTTTCTCTCCTAGGCACTCCTGAATAGTCAACATAAAGCTAGTGGAGCAACTTCTGTCTGTATCTAAATTAATAACAATGTGTGGATATAACTAGAGGCAAAATTTCACTCTGTAAGACCTAAACAAATTTAGTCCGATGTGCCTTACATTGTACAGCCAATCTGTGTCCTTCAAATTCCACTAGCAATCTGTCATTTATTCAAATCACTCTGATTTCAGAATGAAAAAAATCTTGGTGCTTATTCTTCCAATCACAGTAATTTACTATCTGAATAAAAGGAGAGACATCCTAACTGGATAGAAATAGTAACAGGATTTCATTTTCTATCGATAGATCTGCTATGAATAATCCATTGATGAGTTTTGACAGCTTACACTTACTGAAGAATATTCCATTGAGTTTAAGCACCAAGAGAATGACATTGACTTGAATGATACAATTATAAGCAGGAAGGTGTATATTTTTGAAGTAGTAACTAAGAAAAAAAAAGATAAAACTTCTAAAGTTTAGAAACTGAAAGAATCCTGGGGGGTGGGAAACAGAATGAACATCAATGATCAGGCACACTCATTAATACTGATGAAGAATGGCCAAGAAGTACAGTGCCATATAGTAGTATAGAAAATATAGTAGTGGATCTGCATACATGAGCTGTAACTCCAGTCTTTATGCACATCAGGGGTTTTTATTTTTATAGCTCTAACCAAACATGCGTTTGTAGTTGAGGAGGTTTTTAACTCCTCGTTGTGATCTCTCAAAGACAGCACGGCYTGGAGCCAGCCTGTTCTGAGGCAAGGACCCTGCAAACACAGCTGTCCAGAAGGGATTAGTTGGAAACAGGGCCCAGATGCCAGTCACGGTACTTATGCTGCTCTGTAGTTGCGTGCTAAAAAGCATGAGAGAGAGAGTAAGGAAGCCTTGAGAGCAGAACAGAGGTGCTGTTAAGTCAGGAGGGTCTGCTGGAAGGAGGATTGTGGTTATCTTGCCCTAAAAGGGATGAAGCTCAAAGAAGAAATGCAAAAAGGATGCTCCAAAAGACCAGCTTATCATGTATGAAGAGTTGCAGGGAGGAAAAGAGAGAAGTCTGGATTCAAGATGTAGAAACCAATTGTTTTGGGTTACCAGCTTATCTAGCTTTTTTTCCTATCTGTAACACTGAGGTGGTTGTGCCATGATTTTGCAGTGAAGTCAGGATTTTTGATTGATTTTCCTTAGATATCTCTATCAGAAGACATTTGTGTGTCTAAATTACTAAGTGTATATCCCCAGTATATATATTTATCTTATAGAGATAAAAAATGCATGAGCTTAGGTCCGTTGTTGTATATTATCATCTGGTATAAAACTATGTTGTTTCCTAAAGAAATTGGGCCTAAATTACCCACGGGGCGAAGGATGTGTAGAAGACTCTGAAAACCCCTTTCATCTCAACCGCAATGCTGGAGGCCCTACATGGTAGAGTGAATTAACCCATTGTTTTGATCAGGGGAAAAAAAAGTGTTTAGTAGCAAACTGTGCAAGAATCCAACAGTCCATCATCAGGCCATCAGTTCTGGTGGTTATACCTTTTATTTGCTTTCAACTTGGAACAAGGGAAAATCGATAATGACATAAGCTGTAAAATGGAAGTCAGGGAAGAAATGAGAACACGGTTCTTTGCAGTTCAGATGGCTTTGTGCTAGCAGTTCTCTGTCCTGCTGCAGTCCCTGTGTGCTCCAGCACTGAAAAGGAAGCCCGCTCAACATTTGTTTTCACAGATTTGGTTATGGGATGGAAGAAGTGGTGCATGAGGCCACAGCTGGGGAATGTGCACCTTCCATCCCAACTCCTTTGAGGTAGGGCCCAGCTCAGCAGCGTATTTGTAGCTGCAGAGCCGCATTCCCTCCTCGCCTAAGACCCCCTTGCCAAGCAAAGCTAGTGCAGGAGGTCACAGAGCAGGAGAGAGGCCTCGTGCCAAAGCTGGAGAAACACAGAAATGTGTGTGGGTGAGAAGGTCTCAATCTCATATGCCATAACTGAAAACAGAAAGTCTGATGGGACCAGCCCCACAAAGGCATTTTCTGAGCATGGCCAGCCAGTCCAACGTGCCCTCTCAGCCCTGCACCCCCCCCACAGCAACCCCCAGTGCCCTGCGCTGTATTTCCTTCTGCTTACCAGAGTCTCTCCTGTGGATCGAGCCTACATTAAGCTTAGCAAGTTCTAATGTGAAAGGTGACGGGCAAATGGCTGCAAGCTTTTGTCACAGCAGCTTTTTTTCTTCTCCATTCCTGAGTTGCGTGGAGCTTGGCTGAAATGATGAATCGCTGCCACTGTCTACTGCTTTCTGAAAGAGATAATAGGTCGGCCAAAGCTTTATTGTGTCAGCAGCCCCGTGGGCCCGATGTGCAGTTGCACACCGAGTGGCCTCGGCAATGCCATGGCACATATTGACAGCAGAAATAAGTATAGTATCTACATCTCTTTATGCGTGCCCATCTCTTCATTAAAAGACAAGTCTCACTTGACCTCACCAAATTGTCTTGTTTACTAGATCCTCCTGAATGAATCTGAAAACAAAATACATCCAAATTGGTGTTAAAGGCCTTTACATCTTTCCTGCTGATAGTGATGGCTGATCAGCTGATAGTGCCTGAGGCTTCTGTAATTGATTGGGACATGGATAATTCTCCTGTGAAGGTAGAAGAGCTGTGAAATGTGCTTCCAACACCAGGCAATAATATTTGAGCTGTGGTTATTCTTATTCCACAAAAGATTTTAAACATTTTTTTGAAACTGATGTGCTGAGGAAAGTAAGCTAATATCAGCTCAGTTCTTCCTGTTCCTTGAATGGAGAGAAAAATTCCCATTTTGATGTGGTGATGCCAGTTTTTGGAGGAACCAAACAAGGCCAACAGAAATGCTAAAGCATCTGGCACTCTCCTCACCTCAGTCTTCCGGCCTCACCCCCAGATAAATATACAGCACCTTCAAGATATGGCAGAAGACCAGTTGCTTGCAAGGCCATGTCCCCACATTTGAGCTTGGAGGTACCAGCTGGCCGTGGCAACAGCCCGGAGTCGTCAGGGTGGTTATAACCAGCGACTTTGAAGTCCTGCCCTTCAGCTATCTCCTATTGCACAGCGCTTGTGATACATGAGTCCCCATCCTGCAGCTGTCGCCATTTAAGTCAGCAGGCATCTGAAGCAATGCTGGCTACCCCGGGGAAAGGGATGAGAGATGAACAAAGTGTTCATCTTCAATTAAACCATTGGGATGCCACTGCAGAGTCCGACTACCCGCAACCTTCTCCTCAGTGTCATGTCCAAGCTTTTTAATAGAAAAGAACAGAGGCAGCTGCCGAAGTCTGCTGGTTAGTACAGGGTTTGAACCAAAGCGAGGTGGGATCAGTGACCATATCAACAGGTTTGTAAATAAGACAAGGTGATTTTTAGACTACACTTTCAGTAAGCTGCAACTTCCTTTGCACTACTGTCTTCAGTCTAAGATTTTGCTGCTAAGTATACTGGGGGAACTCACCAAGGTAG